TTTGAATCTCTGAAGATAGAACTCAGGAATTTTTTTAAAGTAGCCATCAGGATAACTGAAGTGACAGTATCTGTAAGTAATATAATGATTAAGAAGGCGGGCTCTGTGAACAGACTGGCTGGTTGGTGTCTTCTCCCAGTTCTAACACTTATTAGCTATGTGACCTTGGAAAAAATACTTAGCCTTAAGTCTCAATTTCCACATCTATAAAATGGAAATACTAATATGATCCACCTACAAAATTGACAAGCTATTACTACCTACCTTATAAGGTAGATGCCTAAAGTAGGCAAATTTTTTAAAAGCACATATTAATTCCAAGAAAGACAAAAAAATTTATATTAAAGAAAACATAACAAATACCATTTGGCTTAGCAGTAGAAAAAAACTACATAATCATGATAATGTAAATATTAACTGTTGATTTAAATAAAAATTATAATATAACTATGTCGGGAGGCTGTGGGGATCAGAAGTGGTAGCAGTGGAAAGGATCAGAGAGCTATTGCTAAAATTGATAAATTAGGAAAAAATAATATAAGTACATTATTTAGAAAGAGAGGGGTAAACACCAGAAATATCAGAGTAGAAAGTTGCTAATTCTGGGGAAGCAATCCAGAGAGAGGTAGAAAGAAGGCATAGATGTTGCAGTTTTTAAATATTTGCTTCTTAATGCTGTTTTATTTAAACAATTTAGATACATTGCTTTGATAAAAATAAAAATAAAAGGTAAAAGGTAATTCATAATGCATATAAGTACAATATGATATTTCTTTACATACTGGGGTTAATATAAAGCTTTTCAATTTACCAAAACTTGCTTTAAAAAAAATGATATAATATCTCCAACTATGCCACCAAAATGTCCATTTCTTAAAAGTATACGATAAAGACTTACTTCTTCCCTGACACACTCTAAATCCTAAAAAGATATTTGCTGAATTCAGCTGAGGATGGTGGAAAAATATATAAAGAAAAAATTCCTTTGTACAATCAAGGTCGCAGCAGGAAGGAGATGACATCTCCTTTACCTGGGGTGAAGGTAGGGTTAAGGGAAGACTACTAAGGGATGGTCTAGTGTGCTGGAGTTAGCAAAAATTCCATTAACACTCCAGACTCAAAGGGGCAAAGGGAAGAAGCAGTTACCAGACAGTGGAAAGAGCTGTATCTGCAAAAGAGAGACCCCCAACAGGAACCAAGGCCTTCCTTAGAGGGATACAGTCATTGCCAACCCACAGTGCTGCAGGGAAGAAAGTAGGGAAGAATATTTCAGCCTCGTGTTCCCAGGTCTTCATCCAGTTCCTTCCCCTGGCTAATACAACAGAAAACCAGTCAACAAGGGAGCCCAGGGAATGCCTGCAATAGAGGTTAGGCCCTTGGTGCAGAGCTGTTTAGAAGAGAGAGGAGCTGGAAGCACAAATGAATACCCAGCACAAGCACTATACAGGGTGGTTGTTGTTGTTGTTGTTGTCATCGTTGTTAATTTGTCTCTTTTTCCTACTCAGCCTCCTAAAACAAGCCCCTCAAATTTTCATCTGTTTAATATTCATGGCATGATAGCAATATGCTGATGTTATGCATTTGTTAAAATTTACTAAGCACTTTCATATATATTGTCTTTATGTGATCCTCAAAACAGCCCTGTGCAATAAATAGAGCAAAAGTTATCCTCATTTTACAGGTGAGGAACCTGAGATCTTAAAGAAAGTTGGGAATCTTGCAGAGAGTCACAAAGCTAGCAAATGGCAGAGCCAAAACTAGAAGGAATGCTTCCTAATACCCCAGCTAAGGCTCTTCTCACCATATAATACTGTCATGCTATTTATTCACAGTAGGAGTGCAACACTGATATCCCTGTTAAAAAAAAAAAATTAACTAGTTTTGTTCTAGGCACTGCACAGAGCACAGAAGTAGTCAACAAATAAGACACAAGGGGAAATAGAGAAAACTTGCCCATTCCATTCTCATTCTCCATTCCACAAGCAATGCCAGAACGGGAAGTAATTGAGTTTTCAATCACATTTTACACATCATTGAAAAGAAGGTGTTCAGTAGGGTAAGAATAGTATTCAAAGGAGAAATAAAAATTCAGGGAAAAGTAGAAAAATGTTTAAAGAATATACCTGTTGTGTTTGGGGTTGCTGGGGGTAAACAGAAGAAAATCTCAGTCCCTTCACAATCCCCATGACACAAAGAGACCAGGGCCCCAGAAATTGGGAGGGATGACTTCTCTGCTTCTCTTCTCATTTCCAGCTCTATCCCCACATACATATACATTCTTTGAGAGCTAAGAGAAGCAGCCAAGAGTGACTTCCCCATACCAAACACAGGAGTACTGGGAAGTTCAGCAAAATAACCCATTTTTGAGATTCTAACAAAGAACTCTGTACCTTTTGTAATCTACTGCAAAACATTGAGCTACTTACACATGATGAAAGAAAGTAAAAAAAGCATTTTAATTGTAAACCTCCAAACATACCATATTTATTCCAAATCTAGCTCACTAATGAATAGACTATACTATCAATTAGGGTTCTGTAGTTGCAAGCAGCAGAAACCAATTCACTAATTTAAGAATTATTGGAAGGATATTGGAGTCTCAGCCAATCCACAGCAGAATGGAAAATAAGGTTTGGAGGTCATGACTAGCCAAAACAGACATGGAGGCAACAGTGGTCTCATAGTACATACTGGCAGATCAGAATGCCTGTCTAGGACAAGGGAGAATCCTTTAGCTAAAGAATCAGATTCCAAAGAAGGAGCATTTACTTTGCCAAGCTTGTGGTCATACACCCATCCATAGGCTGGGTGCAGGCCCCTAGGTAGGGCCCCTGGTTACAGTTCCACTGGCCTAATTACCTCAAAAAGAAATAAAGGTGCTGTTAGGAAGGAAAAACATATACACGACAGAAAAAAAAAAAAAAAAAAAAAAAAAAAAAAAAAAAAAAAGGTTGGTGGGGGGGTTCCCTCTATACTTACCAAGGCTTTCTTTAAAAATTCTTGAAGAAGCTAAACAGCAGTAGATTCCTAATTTCTCAAGACTATTAATTAGTAATTGATGACAATGAAAGAAGGTAGTTTTCCTAATACCTACAAAACTTCAGCCTAATAACTTTTTCACTTCCAGAGGCCTCACTTCCTATATTACCTGAAAGTTACCTTTTCACTTGATTCCTAAGGACCAAGCAGAATTTTCCCTTCTTTGGTAACAACACGCTTATTTTAGAAATATTATCCTGAAGCTTCTAAAATGAATAGACTTACAAAAATATATAATGAATAAATTCATAAGGATGCTGCTGCTGCTGCTGATGATGATGATGATATTAATTAGAGCAGAAGCAGCTCACATCTACTGAGCGCTTATCATGGCCCAGGACTTCTTCTAAGCCCTTGGCACAGAATACTTCATTTAATTCTCCACAACTACATGAAGCCAAAAACAGTATTATCCCCACTTCACAGATCAGGAAACTGAGACTCTAAGAGGGTAAGTTGTCCGCAGTCCAATAGCTAGTAAAAGCCAAATCATGACTAAACCCATGTCTGATTCCAGAGTACCAATTCAATAAAAGAGTTCCATTGAGAGTAGAGAAAATGGACTGTGACTGTGTGGAAACATCCCCCAAGAGGAAAGGAAGCATCATATCTGTGCCAAAAGATTACAAAGTTGTCAAGATGGCTACATCACCACTAAATCCAATTATTTATGAGCATTTATTTCTAAAAGCTATCAAGTATTTCTTTATTCCAAGGTGTGGCTCAACGGTCCAGAGACATGTAGTTATATGGCCGAAAATAAGAATTATCTACTGCTTAAGATAGTATTTTCTTCACTGATGTTCAACCATCATGGCAAAATTCCAAGCCAACCAGTTTTCATGCACTAGAGTTTAGTTGCCCCAAAGCAAATCCTAAGAAAAGAGATTTTTTTTATAACTCATATTTTGATTATCTAAAAGGGGTTTCTCCAATATCCCTGTAAAATTCTTCTTCGCCCTCCAAATAAACATGAAAAATTCAGCCCCAGAAGTAGATTTGTCAAGAAGTAAGTAAGAACTTAAAGTATAAGGTAAATCAAAATGGCTTTTCAACTTTAACTAAAGTGGTCATAGTTATGATTGCTGTAATAAAAATGACAGAAAAAACCCTAAAAGTGTCAAAAATATAATTTATGATGAAAACAAATGTAAAATTATAGCATATTTCACCCTGGCCACCAAAGACTCTTGATGAAACTGCAGCCCTATAATTGCCCAGAATGAATTCTTTAAATTAAAATACTTCATGCAGAACAGAAATTAAACAATGAATCAAAGAACAATGCTGTACAGAGGTATGCTTATAAATATACCTAGCAAAGAGGAAACAATTACATTTTTCCATGTAAAAACCAACTTGATTGTAATGTTTCACAAGAGGCCGAGTAGGTACTTTTCCCATTGCTTCAAGCTTGGAAGTTCATTTCCTGTAATTCATTTAGGGCTCAGAGTGACTGGGTGGAATGAAATTAGATACACCAAATTCAGTGGCTCTTTTCTTTCTACAAAACTAGATCTTCCATGCAACTGCACAACTGACTTTCACAATAAATTTCATCCAACCCAATTGAAATGCCACTCTGCATTTTATTTTAAATGCTTTATTTGGCCAGCTAGTTTTATTTAACTATTGGTCAGAAGTAGTACAAGTGCATTCTTTTTCCATCTAGCATTAATCATAGTAAACTTAGCTCCATTGGAATGTCTTAACTGCTGAGAAGAAAGCAAAAGTCAGCAAGCATACAATCGCATTTGTCTACTCTCAACACATCATTTTATTTCCTCCTGCTCTTTGCTAACCACTGCTCAGCACTTTTGCCTAAGAGGGAGGACAAGCAGGTGGTTAAGGAAGTTGTCCTGTCAGCTAATCTTTAGTCCAAGTGTTTAAATCTCTGAATAAAAGAAAAATCAATGTTGTAAAGGCAATATTTGTCAAGGCCATGTAATAAATACACTTACCTTTACAGACTGTTCTCAATGGATTTCTCTTCTTTGCTGAGCTTCAAAGCTACAAAGAGATAAAAAAAAAAATGAAAGACAGAGTTGTCTGTGAGTAAAACAACAAACGTTTTCTCCCCATGTCTCTAAATAGAATTTCCATATGCCATGGTATTTGGTGCTAGCCAAATAAACCATTGATAAAACTTGTGCCTCATACCTCCCGCACAAGAGGCCAAAAAAAGACAGTCAGAAACTGAAAATGGTGCACACATCTACCCAGAACTGAAGCACACAAACCTTGGCCAAATCTACAGTCAAATCTTTTGGAGTGTGAACTCCTCAACAGAATGGGAACAGCTTATAAAGTAGAGAGATGAAAATCAAATTAAACACGAGAGTGACATACTCAATCTGACTAAGCATTTTATTTTCTTATTTCTTTTTGTCAGCTTTCTTGCATGCTCTATTTCCATTTCTCTGAAAAAGTTTCACTTACTGATACTTATTCCATTTATATGAGGTGCATGGTCCTTCTAATATAGACTTCACCACTTGTTCCATAAGTATATGTGTGCATGCCTACAAGGAAAATCATCCTTTCTGTACGTAGACTGCAGCCTTCTCTCAGAAGAAACTCACAAAACAAAGGAAGCCACAACTTGACATTTCGAATCAAATCTTGTTAACTTCAGCTTTCTGTGATCAAAACATAAATACTATGCACTGACCAGACGCAAGTCAATGTGACAAAAGATCTGCAAAACAACAGCAATAACTTACGGTTTCATGAAGCTGGTTCTTTAATCATCCAACCTTACTCATAAGGTGCCTCTGTAGTCACTAGTAATGGGAATATGTCTCTCTCTCTCATTTTTGGCTAGGTCCTAACATCTCTGAAAGGCACAGTAGTTGGGGATAGAAAACTACACCATAGTTTTTCCATGGTTCTTTTTTTTTCCTTCGATATCTTACAGGATTGTTTTAGCTCTTACTGGACTGTTTCCCTCCACATCCCTCTATTCCACCAAAGAATGCATTACTACTGATGCATGACCGCCAAAGAACAGGTCAGACTTATGGGCTAAGATGTAAATCTTAGACTATTAATGCAGGAGATAAGTCCCTTCTATGGGACAGCATCAGAAATTTCTCCTTCCCCCTGAGTTACACGGATTACAAATGAGTTTAGAAGAAACATAGTTTGGAGAATACTTGATAAAATAGTATAATATTGCATTTGTGAAATCTAAGAGATTAATAATCTGATAACACGGAGATTGAGCTCAATCCCTTTCCACTCCAAACACAGAAATGCTAAACAAATACAATGATGATTTAAAATACATATATGTTTGTGTATTTATACATATGTGCATATATGTATATACATATGTGCCTATACACACACGTGTACATACATACACGTGTGCATATATACATACATACACACACACACATAGACAGACGCGCACACACACACATATATAGCCAAGTTCAAAAGAAAGAGAAAAAGCCAATATAAAAATATAATGGATGTAGAGTTTCTAGAATGAAAGACATGAGTTCTCTTGAAAAAGTATACCAATATCTCAAAAAGATAAATAAAAGCAAATGCATACTTTGATACATCAGGATGAAACCACAGAACACCAGAGATAAAAATAAAGTCAACCAGAGAGGGAAAAAAAAAGAGACTTCTGGCAAAAGAACATCTCATCAGCAAAAATAAAAGTAAAGCAACAGGCCAGGCACTGTGGCTCACGCCTGTAATCCCAGCACTTTGGGAGGCCAAGGTGGGCGAATCACCTGAAGTCAGGAGTTTGAGACCTGCGTGGCCAACGTGGTGAAACCTTGTCTCTACTAAAAATACAAAAATTATCTGGACTTGGTGGTGGGCGCCTGTAATCCCAGCTTCTCAGGAGGCTGAGGCAGGAGAATTGCTTGAACCCAGGAGGCAGAGGTTGCAGTGAGCTAAAATTGCACCACTGCACTCCAGCCTGGGCAACAAGAGAGAAATTTTCCTCAAAAAAAAAAAAGAAGAAAAAATTATATGCCCATACTAAACCCATCATTCAAGAATAATAGAGAACAATAGGTAAATAGGAACACTTTTCAAAAAAAAAAAATTGTTCAGTGCTCACAATAGTTTACTTTTACCAAAAGAAATACTAAAATAAGATATGCTTGAATAAGCGGGAATTTATCCCAGAAGGAAGGAGTGAGAAACAAGAAGCAATAGTGAACAGAGAAATTAGTAAGCATGATGGTAAATCTAGTAACTTTAACAATAAGTAATGGGTATTGATTAATAATTATTAAGCCCTAGTTGTAAAAAAACAAAACAATTTTTAGGATTTGCCAATAAAGTGAAACTGAGTGGTTTATCACAATCATATGGAATAAAGAAGGGGGTAATAAATTGTTTAGAAGGAGGACAGAAATACTACTTAAGGCATTAAAGATATGAATTAAAACTACTGATTAACTTGTTAAGGATAACCAGCATTTTTTTATCTGTCTATATAACCAAAGAGGCCCTTGCACACGTACTCACAGAGACTTGTAGAATGTTTACAGCAGTATTGCCAGGATGGCAAAAAATACAGAAAACAACCCAAACATCTATCAGCAATATGATAAACACATTTTTTTATGTATTCTTAGAATGCAATATTATATAACTTTGAAAAATCAATGAAACAGTTACCCACATCAACATAGCTACCTCTCAAAATATGATGTAAAACAAAACAAGTGAGTCACAGAAAGCTATGCATATTATTCTATTTGTATAACATTCAAAAAGACAAAAATAAATACTGTGTTGTTTTTGAATATAAACTGTAAGTGGTACAAAACAAAATAAAGAAAGGGAAGAAATTTACACAGAATTCAGGCTATCTTTATCTTGAGAGCGGGAGAGGAGATGGAATATGTGAAAGGGATAAGGGGGATTCTAGAATATGGTAATGCTCTGTTTCTTGGCCTAGAAAGAGGTATCTAGACAATCAGTTTATTATTTTCTTTAAACTGTATATGTATACTTGCACAAATTATTTTGCATGTATGCTCTATTTCCAAATTTTAAAACATATAGGAGTAATAACCAAAAGAATAGAAATTTCCAAATCAATAGAGGAAACAACATGGAGTAAAGAAAACACAATCGATACTCCATACAACATTGAAATGGAAAGGAGAAAGAAGCAAAGGAAAACACGCTGAATAGAAAATACAAAAGAAAATATTTTAACACAGTCCAACTGTGTCAGGAATCAGGGTAAGTACATCTGTTAAAATTTTATCAAAACAAATGTTTTAAAATCTTGCTATGTGTTGTTTATAAGAAACAAATTTAAACATAGGTTTTGAAAAGAAAAGTGTGGATAAGTACACACCAAGGAAATAGGAACCAAAAAAAAGCTGATGGAAATAAGTTATTGTTAGGCATGATTGAAGTTAGCAATAATAGAAGAGAAAGTATTTATATTCATTTTTTATCGACATACAACAAATTGTCCAAAAATTAGATATTTAAAAATAAAAGTAAGAATTTATTATCTCTCACGGTTTCTATGGATCAAGAATTCTGGCAGGGTTCAGCAGGATGGCTTTTCTGTATGCTACATAAAGCCTGAGGCTTTAGCTAGGAGACTAGAAAGTTAGGGGCTGGAATCATGTGAAGTCTCACGCCCTCAAATATCTAAGTTAGGAGCTGGGATCATCTGAAGACTCATGCCCTCACATATCTGCCAGTTGGTGCTCAGAGTTAGCTGAGACCACAACTAGGGCTAGCAGCTGGAATACGTCCATGTGGCCTCTTCATGTGGCTTGAGTCTCCTCACAACATGGTGGCTGAGTTCCAAAGACAAGTTCTGAGAGAGAGACAAACAGAAGCTGTATTTTTTATGACCTAGGCTCAGAAATCACATAACACCATTTACACTGCACTCCACTAGTCAGGGCAGTCACAAACCCCCACCCAGACTAAAAGAAAGAGAACAACAGCCTTGCCCCCCTCAAAGACGGAGTGTCTGTTACACTGTAAGAAAAGCACAGGATTGGATAAATGTGCTGATGTGACCACCTTTGGAAAATGCAATCTGCCACAACATTCTTTACAAGTACATATGAAACATAAGCAGAAATTAAACATATAGTAGGCCTGAAACTAGTCTCAATGAATATCAAACAACAGATAGTAAAGGTCTCTTACCATAATGCATTAAAGTTGGAAAACAATTATTAAATAGGATTTTTTAAATGTGTTCGAAAATTATAATTTTATGACAGTTTCCCTTTGTGAATTGAGATTAGACAAGGACCTTAACTAAATCCCACTGGATGAAGGTCCACATCTGGAGTCAAAAGAGATCACTAGTTTGGTTGTGGATACATTGAATTTGAAGTGCCTTAGAGACATCTAAAGGAAAATATCCAGGTAAACAGTTGGGTAGATGAGTCTGTAGCTAAGAGGGGAGGCCTGAGAGTGGTAAGTTATCTGTAAGTAGGAAGCAACTGCAGTTGTGAATATGGATGCAACTGTCCAGGGAGTCAGTATAAGCAGAAAGACAAAAGGCCCTAGGACTGATCCGTGAGCAAGTTCAACATCTAACAGTTGTGTTGAGGAGGATGAATCCTACATAAGAGACAGAACAGTTGCCAGAGAAGTAAAACAAAATCCTCAAGATTCAGAGAAAGGTCAAGTGATATAAATCCTAAAAAAAGCCCAATATGAAGGTCATGAGGAACTCAGCAGGAACTGTTTTGTGGATTGATGGAGGCAGAATTCAGTTTGGAGTTGGTTAAGACAGAAGTAGAAGTCATTGAACAAAGACAATGAGTAAAGACAATCCTAGATAAGATTGGCTGCGATTGGGGAGGAAAGAGTGGCAACTAAAGGACAAAGTGCTGGAAGAGGGTTTGTTTATATAGTTTTTAAACAGAAAAAAAGCTGAGTATGTATCAAGATAATGGAGAAGATCTATTTAAGATGCAGAGTAAGTGTAGAAGAGAAAGCGTAACCAGTGCTGAAGGTTCCTGAGAAGGTTGAAGGGGACAGGTGGT